TGTATGCTTGATTGTGTTTAATACATCTAAAATATTTCAGACTCCAGCCTCACTGGCCCCTTATAGCTCTTGTCCTCCAAAACCATTTATATGGTTTTGTAAAGCCCTGTCTAGAATGTTCTTGTGTCCTTTGGTATTGATAAGCTTAAAAAATTTATGCAGTTAACAACCTCTAGAATAATTATTATAGAGTTACCATAAAACCATTCAGAGCCACGGGGACATATTTTTTCAACCATTCTTTACTTAGGAATACTGCCCTTTTCTGAGTTCTGCCTTGAAACACTTCTTGTGACAACAGCAGCTAGGGTTAATGGGCAATACTATGTAGGCTGCCTTTAAACAGGGTAAAGATGGTGGTATTTACTTTCATGGCCCTTTTGGTCAGTTCTACTAACACTTTAATCAGCTGGTACTTCACACTGAATTCTCCCCTCCCTCCATGATATTCTCACAGAAATTTTGTGATACATACCTACTCGTAACTTGAAGTCATTGAATGAATGCTTGTTTATGACATCCAGTTTTGCCACCAAGGCAAATGCGAACTCCACCATGGTTCCTATGTGCATATACTGCCGTTCAGGTTCCTGAATTTAAACAGCCAGAGTAAAATAATTTTACTTAGCCTTAGTTGCTGTGAGAATACAACCAAATATGCTGAACACTTGAAAGCACTTCAACTCTTACGGATGCCAGCAGGCACCAGAAGAAAAGTGATGTAGAAGATGGTGTCCTGTCCAGCATCAGTTACATCAAACAATGGTCAACAGACCAGGATGCATTTTACTTACACAATCAGGCAGTCTAGAGATCATAGATCCAAAACATGCCTAATCTAATGTTGTGATTGGCAAATAACTGATTAGCTGTTATCTAATCCTACAGGCACTCAATGTCTATGTGTGCCTAGGATTTGCTCATTAATCTTCTCTAAGTGTCTGCTTCTATTTTATGCCCTTTAACAACAAATAATGCTTGTGGACAGCCCCACAGAGACTCCTCCCTCCCACTGCTGCACAGCTCAGCACCCTAGTTAATGCTTAAGATCCAGTGAAATTCACAATTTTAAGAGTTCCTCCACTGATCTTATCTGATAGATAAGCAAGCATCTCTGAGAACATCCAACAGACCTGAAAATGAATAAAATGGAAGAGGAAGAGGGGAAGAAGGCAATCCATTCTCTGTCCCCTAATTTACTAGCTAGGAGCTTATACCAGTTATGAAGGCAATAGACTTAATGTCTCCTCATACATCAACAGTGTTGCCCGATTTCTAAGTACTGGTTTGACTCTCCTCAATCTGAGGAGAAAATTGATTTTCGGACTCTCATAGCCCAGGGTGGGACCCTGACAAGAGAATGATTTCATAAGACATGGACTCACTGATCTCTATGAGAAATGACTGAATCTTCCTCATTTCTTGAGGTAAAGTGACAGAAGGGATGGACAGATGAGAACTTCAGGAGATGATTCAGAGAGTAGATGCATCAGCCTAGGTGGGACAGTAGTGGTGCTTGCCAGAGCAGCTGTTTAGATGAATGAAGCCTGTTTCCTTTGGAGTTCACTCTTAGTTAAGACAGACGGTTTCCTGTTCAGTTGATGTATTCAGACCCCCTCCTTAGGCACTTACTCTTCCCTGGGTGCTGGTTTTAAGCTGGGGGCCGTTCCCAGCAGTATGCCTAGCAGTCAGTCACTGCCACACTAGGTACTGCAGTATCTGTGCATCTTTGGGCATCTGTACCGAGGGCTGCTGAGTTTTGGCGGATTTCTTTTGAAAATGTGTACTAAATCACCAAAGGAACACTAAAACTCGGATCTCTTGGTTCAGTTTGTGGAAATAAGTCAAACGATAAATTTTTTCCTGTGCACACACTAGTTTTAGTTGTGATTGAGAGCTCCTCTATGTCTTCTCATCTCCAGTCTACAGTTCTGCATTTGCTTCATCCCCTTCACCTCCCTGTGTTAAATGTCAGAGCTAATTTTAAATCATTCTTTTTTTTGTCCTCAAGATCCTTAGGGTCTATAGTTCAGGTGTTAATTGCTTCTGTCTAGAAGGAACATGAGTTTGGCAAGAGCACATTAATCCTTAGCAGAGAATGTGTTGATTCATTGCTGTCGCTAACCTAAAGATCATGGCAAAAGCAAGGGTTTTGTTTAAAAGTTATGAATTGCTTCTCTGAACTTCATTTCTACTGACTGCAGTTCCCAATCCTACCTTATTAAGTAAACTAGAAACAAAGGAACATGTTGTCAATGCTGAGCCTGAGGGGTTCTGTAAGTGCACGGTTAGTACAGCTACTCAGCCCTCCCAGCTTACAATGGCAAATACTGATTCTTGCAGTCTTTTGTACACTCTATCAATCCAGTTCTGCTGCAGCATGTAGGAATAAAATGCTGTATTGTTTAGAGTAGGAGGCCTGTTTTAGACTTAGCAAATACAGAGGTGGCATTTTCAAACTGCAACGTGAAGAACAGTAATTCACAGAGACAACTAAACAAAAGTATACTCTTGTCCAGTACAATACAGTCTATGTTAATAAGAAAAAACTAGGCCACAACATCATACATAACCTTCAGTTTAATGAACAGAATTTCAGCCTTCATTTGAACATGCTTTTTATTAAGCAGGAACCTTTTTATGTACCTGACACTGTTCTTGGTTTGGTGTAGCACTCAATCCTGTTGCTGCCATGTAAGTGCTTCCAATGGTCTTTATCTTTTCAACTCCGCTGAACTTTGGCTTTGACAGTAACTGTAAAACAAGGATGGTTATTCATTATTCAGATCAGCAGCCTTGTTACTCCGACAGCATTGTTCCTCTAACAGCAATCAGAGCATCAACTCTTAAAACAGTCTCTTAATAGACCCCAAATGGCTTCACAAATACATACAGGATGAAGGACTTAAGGATGGATAAAACAATGGTTACAGCCTCCAAGGAAAGGGAATTTCTGTCTGCTAAAACACCTTTTTATTGTAAAGGGACTAAATTTATAGTAATGAGAGTAAGTTCCACTTTATTGTACATACAGCTCTTAAAAGTCAAGACTTAGCACTCGTTTGATGTTGGAACTGAGTCACCACGCAAGCCAACAGTTAAGCTTTAAGCAGCTTTCTGAAAGTAAGCATCTCTTCCATGCTAATGGGATAGTCCATGCCAATAGGACTAAAATCCAATGATTTTAGTTCATATCCCAGGTTGTTTTGGACATTCCAATGTTCTCCAAATGGGTTTGCTGCTAAAATACCCTCTATAGCTGCAGATCTGCAAATCCACACTGCTCTCTGAGTCATGACACGATCTTAATACTTTTTTCTGGTATCTTCATCACTAATAACTTTCTTTAAGACAAGTACCGTTCTCGGTGAGACCTCTACAGGTGCCTTTTCACAATCATCTATAGTGATACTCTGTACTTGCTTGGAACTTCAGAGAATGGAATATTAAAACTTACACAGTCCTCTAAGTCAGTCTTGTATCAACTGATCAACTCTGTGTATAATGAGACCAACACAGATCAGGTATAACACAAAGCTGTATCATTTTAGGGGACATAGATTTATGTACCTGACTTTAGGCACTAGTATTTATAACCCATAGATAACACATGGCATGTAACATGACTGCCTCATGAACTGCAGCTAAAGGGCAAAAATTTCTCCATCAGATATACACATAGAATTCTCATTATAGCGAATTGAAAGCAATTGACTATGATGTCAGATCAATATCCGATTTATCCCACATAAATCTCTTTCTCCTTTAATACTCCCTGTAAGTAATTTTCATATGACTAGGCACACAAAAGTTCTTCTCTGACAGCTCTTCCACTCTCCCTTTCAAGTATGTTTGCTTACTGTTGCACACCCTGAGTTATTAAGATTGAAACCATATGTTGATTGTTGTTAGAAGTACATACATCATCGAAGTCAGCAATGATCTCATTTAGCAGCCTGAGACATTCCAAGCCTTCCTTATTTACATCAGATTCTGTGTAAAATTCCTTGAAATCCGGAACAGAGGCAAACATGACACAGACACAGTCATATGACTGATGATATAGATCCTGTCCAAAAGAAAACAGAATAGAGAAAAAAAATCTGTCATACTCAGCTCTAAATAAAAGTTTCCTTATTAATATGCAGCATCCTGACCCCCAAAAGGGAGGTGTTGCAGTGGTTAGAATGCCTTTAAGATGGTGGTTGGGTACTTTTTGCATTTAGTTGCATTTATTAATTTTAAACCATATATAAACCTGTTTGTTAAACAGACTCAACATATACAGCTGAAAATATTTTAGTGATTTAAAGTTATCTTTTTTTCCCTCCTGAACATTAACTCCATGAACATAAAATGTTCACTAATTTATTACATAGGGCCCATTTTTGAGGCTTCTCATGAAGAGAATTTGGTGTGGCTTGCATAGCTGAAAATCTGTTTTGTGAAACAATATCTAATTTATTATTAGCTGTTTGTGTTACTGTAATAACTAGAAAACTGAACCAAAATCACAAACCCTATGCACTACAAATGCATAATGCAACACAGTCTGGATAGTTCCTAACCTAAAATGACAAGATGCCTAATAGGACAAAATAATTGTCATATCTTTTCCATAACAAGGAGCTGAGGCAAAGGGAAAGAAGTCACCTGAAGTAAAACTTATTTATGTCATATTCCCCACTGCCTTCTGTGACCATTGACATGAGAGCACCTTTGCTCCACAGGAAGATTCTGGTGCTAAAAATGACCACATCATTCCCCCCGTCCCCCCTTTAGTTTCCTCTCCACTGCCCTTAAACATTAGAATATCTCTTCTTTCAGGACAAATTCACATCCTAAAAAAAGAAAGAAAGAATACTTATTAAACTAATACTTTTAAAAAAAATTTAGTATCTATACTCAAAGGTAACCACAGCAATAAAAGATGATGTAAACTACCATAAAGTCAAAATCTGTTCAAGTTATTATTTGAGTAAAACAAGGATTTCAATACTCATGTGAATAAAGTGAATAGGATTTGTTCTGTGATTTTGAGAAGCATCAGATATTATTTCCCTTTTTACCTAGCAAAGGCTTTTTTTGCAATTTCACTGGCAGTACATTTCTTTTTGGAAGAATGTGGTGTGTCTGTACACAGATTTGTACAGACATAGTGAATCTCTATTGGTGATGTATAACTGAAAAATAGCAGAACTATAGGAAAACTGTTGACCGCCTCATCCCAGAACAGCTGTGAGGGAAGTTTCTGGGCAAACATGAAAATAATGGCAGACAGGGAGGAACACAGGCAGCTGAAGGAGGTAGATTATTTATTACTAGATTTTTCTGCCCCTTTGTTTTCTAAGGATTTCATAACCAGAGCATCACTGAAGCTCCACCATGCCCCTGTGCAGTGGGGATGGAATATATCATTACAATTCACCATTGTTATTTACATTCTTAAAGCTGAGCTGGTTGAAATTGCCCACCTGTACCTGATATCCAGCTTACAGTCATATATACAAAATCAGTATCATTTTAATGTGACCTGATTGTGCAAATGAAAACCAACTAAACAAAACGTCCAAGCTGATGAGTTCACTGTCAGATCACTGCTAATCTTCAAAGGAGTTCTGGATCTCTTGTGTTCTCTTGCCAAGTTTTTAATGAAGAACCAATATTGTGATAATATTTTTCTGCCATCTATTTTATCCATCTCCATAAACACCTGGTTAATAAATCTATTCCATATAATAAAGTAATCAAATGGTGGGGAGAGGGAACTCCTCTGGCTGGATGATGTCAACTGAATTAAGGCAATTTAAGCATCCGACTGAAGCATTTAATTTGAGAACACAGTTATCCTATGTGTCCTATATTGTCAGTACAGCCGATGTGCTAATATGGAAGATCACCTTAATGCCAGATGGGCAGAATCACCTCAGATAGTGTTTCTTTCAGTCAGTTATGGAAAAAAGGCTAAAGAGATAATTTTTACTAATGTAGGCACTCAAGAGGAGTGCCTGAAACTATACAGGATGACTCTGACTCTAAGAAATTCAGAAGCTCAGGCCCAAAATGACCTCTCTTTGCTCCAGTCTCCCACACGTAAAACCATGTCCAGTGACATACACTGGCAGCTGTCTTGAGTATGTATGCACTTAGACTTGGTGCAGATACACTCAAATTAGCTTGAAATTAGTTAAGTGGAGCAGTAGAAGAAGATTAACAGGCTTACTCCTCAAATGTTTAGCTTTTTCAGTCTGCATTTTGCTTCACATCTACCTATTTAAAATTTACCTCAGGCATGTCTACACTGAAGCTACAGTAACATTTGCATATAAATATAGTTAAAAGTTAAGCTCCGATGTGCTGAGTGCTTTTCATAGGCAAGTTAGCAGAACAGGTACAGATTACATTCTGTGGTTAACTTAGCTTTCCTTCTGTTTCCTCAATTCACCTTTCCTGTACCTTGATTTCAATTTGGAGTAAAGGAATTCAGGCCACACACATGGTGCTGGTTATTAACAGAGGACTGCATCACAAATATAGGGCCTTGGAAATACAGAAGGGGAAATTCACAGTGTTATATAAAAGCCTGGAGGGGAGATACAAGAGTATTTATAGCAGAATGTAGATAAGTAATACTCAAAACATGGATTATTACACATACTTTTTAAATTTGACCTGACAAAATAAAAAAGTTGTATACATGTGACTAATATTTTTTTAAAAAAATGTTCATATTCCTACCAGCTTGAAAAATCCAGTAAATTAAATCCAGCCAAATTAATAGTACAGTTATAATTAATATTAATACACAATTCTATTGTCCTAGGGATTCTGTTAATTAGTAAAAAAAAGTTGGTTTAATTTACCAGATAAACATTAGATAGCAGTTGGTTTATTTGCTTTATTGAATCCTGCTGATTTTGCATCCTGAGAATGTAAAACATGGCAGAATTACATTACTGATGAGATACTGGTTGTAAAGTCTGTGAAACAGACAAAATCTAGGCACAGAGATGATACTGGGACAGTGCCATATCTGAAATAGCACATGGAAATTAATGCCATGTAAAAGTTTATTTGAGAATATAACTTCAAGTCATAAGAATACAGGAGCTACAACTGAACGCTTACAGGAAAAGGAGACCAACTATGCAGTGCTGCAGGCATATGATAGTAGTGAATAATATGAAGCAGAGGTGGTAGAAGATGGTTTCATTTTACCACCTCATAATACAGGAACCAGAAAATAAACAGGACATTTAAAAGTAGAATAAGGAAAAATATTTTATGTAAGAGATATATAAACGTATATTTCATTGTTATTCAACAACATGGAAGACAAGGGCTTAGGGGGTTAAAAACCTGAATGCTTATGTGAATACTAGAAAAATGCATAACTAGGAAATGTATAAAAAGCATCTGCAGAAGGAAAATATGCACTTACATTTACGGGTAAAAGCAGAAGGGTGAATAGCACATTAATCTTCAGCTGTTCCTTGAACTTTTGCTTAAGTATCTAACACTGGATACTGCCTGGGCCCTGCAGTTGACTGGACTGCTTATGGGTGGCAACTCCTGTCTCACCTCGATTGCCACTGAAAAAAATGTCTGTCTTACATACATTAAACATGGAGCCCTAATTAGCTACTAGGAAGTGCCTTTGCTGTCTTCCCTGAAAGCAGAAGTATTGCCCAAAATAAATCACAGCAACTTGCACAATGCACAGTCATCAGGAAGAGAAATATGACTGAGCAAAAGCCAGGAGCAGAGATTGAAATAGAAGTGCTGTTGTGACACAGGAACGTTAGTGTGCTTTATGCTGTTGGCTGTATATCCAGTATGGGGACAGCCAACCTGAAAGAATGTCTGACTGTTACAATTACAGACCCAAATCTTCTTTTTCTATAACCCAGAGTTATCACTCCTTCCTCTCCTCCACCTCAAAAATAAGTTAACAGATTGTATGTAAACACTTGTCATATGTTGAAACTCAGCAACAGTGTCCCATTTCTCTTCCTTCCTTTCTAATACTGGGGCAATATCCATCCCCACTAATGCTCTATAGCATAGTACCAGCATGGAAACAACAACAAATGGCACTGTTTATAACCAGATGACAAGTAATTGTGGCTGTCACAATAAGTGTCAGAAAATTTTAAGGAGGCATTCCCAGCTAGTTTATTTTGATCATTCATAATAATAAAGGCTGTGGCAATTGAGTGTCTTAATTTTCCTATGAGTACTTCTCTTGAAACAGTACTCTCCAAAATGTTTAATCAGAACATTAAATGCAACACCATTCCAGGAAGGAACGGCTTTGCTTCTTTCAACAAAAATAAAATCATCCTGTCTTCTCCAGTCAACCCCTTTTTTAAAAAAACTTTTTTTCCCCTTTGATAACATCTGGATTTCTGCTGGTTGGGTCTCCTTACTGTCTCCTCTTCTCCAGTGCCTGGACATCTTCTTGGGATGGAGGAGGCAAGCTGATCCCATTCTACCTCTTGGAAGGGTATGGCGGTCAGCTTCTCTGGCACAGAATTTCTGCTCTAAGTAGGATGCTGGCTCCATCCTATAGCTAATGAAACAGGATTCCTCTTGCTCAGTAATGTGCTTGCCAGTTAGCTTGCAGCACAAAAGCTCCTGAGCACCTTTTACTAATAGGGGATCTGGATGCTAACAGCATAGAAGAAAAGGCTGCACAAGCCAAGTGCAGATAGATTTAATCCTGGCTCCATTTCCTGCTTTTCATTTTATATTTGTTCCTATCTTTCTCTCTCTCTCAACCGGAACTAGCATTCAGACTATAATCAGAAACGGAGTTCTGGAGGTTCTGGTAAAGCAAACAAACCTTTATTACAGTTTGCTCTGAAGTAACTTTGCTTTTACCGTATCAGCATTAGTCAATGTGTATCCTGTTATGAAAAGACCTTTGTTGGTCATCTAAAAGTACAGTCCCACTACTCCCAGTTAGCATTCATCCACTCATTTTTTCCTCTTGTATTCCTGTTTTTCAGCAGCACACTTTGTCTTCCCTTTTCTCCATATAGTTGCATGCATAAAATTGTAAAAGAAGCAGTATTCTGAAACAGACTATTCATCCATTAGATTAATTTTCATCTCAAAATCTGGTTTAAACAGAAAAGAATATACATAAAACCATGTTAATGTGAATGTTTGCAACAAAGGAAAATGTGGGCAAATTTCAATTCAGTATCTGCTGACCTAAATATCCACACAAAGAGAACAAAGGCTTGATCTGTCCTAACATATTCTTAGGTGTATACAGATACACACATACAGAATGTCCTTTAAGGCTCAACACATCCTTGCTGACACTGAAACAAATCTGAAGACATGACAGATTCTTATATTCCTGAGCATTTCCAGGGATTTGAAAGGTTCTTCCCTCTTTGAAAACTGTGTTTAAAGATAAACAAAACAAGAAATAACTCAAGATTTTTTTTCTAAATGAGTTCCACTAAAATCGTGTCAAACTATTTTTACTTCAGCTGACATGATTGATAGATTGGAGAGCTCAGCTCATTACAATTTCTGTTCATCACTAAATTTATTAAAGCTCATTCCAACCTAAGAATCTTGAGGGGTGACAATATAAATCCAGTTGCCAATACAAAGGTAAGCAGATGGTGTTGCTCTGCTGGGGAGCTGAGATGGAACAGCATATAAATGAGAAAGCAATCTCCTGATGGTTTGCTGTGTTTAATGCCTGAACTGAGAACTGGAGCTGAGCCAACTTGGCTTCCAGCCAACTGGATTCAAAGGAACCCCACAGGAGTTTTCATTAGACATTAGCTACCAAATGAATATTTGCAGGTAGCACTAAAGTACTGATACAAAGTACTGATTATTACTGCTTAATGCAAACCACAGTGAAAGGGAAGACATTGTCCCTCTCGACTCAGGAGATCAAAAATGAATCCCTGAAGCTGCTCTCTCTCCTGTTTTGTCAGTTTTGGAACAATTGCTTGGTATGCACAAGTAGTCCAAACTATTGCATTTAAGATCTCTGGAACTTCTGCTCTCTCTGAATGTTTTAATTTTTTTCATCCTTTTTTGCTTTATTGAAACTGTAAAGCAATATTAGGAGCAGATCTGATTTCCACCAAAGTCAACAGGGATCTTTCAGCTGACTTTTCTGGTGCTTGGATTAGGTCCATAAGCAGCGAGTAAACAGGTAATTCAGTGTTCAGAACCTCTTCCCAGAGTTAACACAGCTGCTATTTCAGGGAAAAGGTTAATTTTCACTCCAGTAAGCAAGGTCTCCAGCCATCAGAAGAAAATTCAGAACCTGGATGCCACTTCACTCTGATCACAAAGAAAAAGTTTAAATATAAATCCATGTTGATTCAACCATCCTGTTCTCCCTCCTCATCCATTTTTACTCTCCTTTGAAAGGCAAAGTACATTGCCACTTAAGATAATTTCACATTTTTTACTTCAAGGTACTAAGGTGTATTCAGTGCTGTAAAGCAAGTCTTTCAGGTAAGTAAGGGGGAATGAAGGTGACTGTAAATCTATGATCTCACTGTATGGACCTACTGTTCAAATCAGCATTAAGTGGTATTTCCAGGATACGCTGCTTTCTTACAGAGCAGAGGATATACAGAGATGGCTGACCTCATTCTTCAGGTTTCTTGCCAAGAAGTGTTCAGCTACGTGGGCTGGAAGCACATTCTCCAGAAGCACCCGATTTAGGTTCTCCATGGTTTCAATCTCCTCCCGCTCTTTTTTGAACTTGTTCTTCCACAGGAAGTCTAACCTACAGTAATATTCATTCTGTTACAAGAGGACACAGAGGTAAAGAAACAATAGGCATCTTGTCCTCCTGGAGTACAGGTTTAAGAGACAAAATAAGCACAGTACACCCCTACAAGGATATTATTTGGCCCCTCAAGTACAATTCCAGATCCCAATGAAATCAAACCCCAAGCACACACTATCTATCTGACATACATTTCACCAAAGTTTCCAGACCCTCCCAACAAAAAGGCCCAGGAAAAAAATAATTGCAAAGTGCCTTAAACAGTGGAAGATTTATTTATCTCTCTCAGACATTAGTAGAAATTCATTCCAGAAATCAAACACTGTTATGGAAACAATTTACAGTTTTGCAACTTAATATGATTTCTTAAGTATGGCATTTCACTTACAATAATGGGCATTTCAGGAAGACTCTAACTTTTACCAGCTTGAGCTTACGTCATGTGATCAGCCTGGTAAAAAGAGGGCAGTTGAAGAAAAAACAGCCTATTGATATAATATGCCTTCAGTTTATCAAATCATTATCAGATTATCAAAAATGGCCCAGTCAAGTTGGGCCAATCCAGTTGAGTTTTGGTTTTGTTGGTTTTTTTTGTTCTTGTTATTGGTTTTTGTGTTGTTTTTTTTTTTAACACTCTTTTCTATTATACTTTATCCTTCTTTTCGGTTTGTCCCAGAGCTTTCATAGTTGTTTTTTAAAATCCCCACCAATAACAATAACTGGAACTATATGGAAATGTATAACATTCTTGGGATATCAGCATTTTTGGAGATCCGATTTCATTAAAAAGATGTTGAAAAATGAATCAAAAAGCATTTTTGTGGAGCGCTCTCTACTTCTTTTCAATTTGCCAATGTTTTGTCATAAATTCTATGGCATTATTTCTACAGTAAAGCCTCCACTGGCCTAAGTATCTCATTTGAGCTGACATAAACCAAGACCTATTTCAATGTAGTCCAATGGTTTAATGCTATCATGCAGCCTCAATGAAGACTAAGGTATTAACTGAGAACGTGATTACGATGACAATAGTATGATAGAAAAACCTAAAAATGCTAGCTAGTATTATTAGCAGTCAGTAAGCATTCACATCAAAAATAAGAGTAGTCCTTCAGATTGGACAGTAGCTGTCACAGCTCAAAATTATTCATAGATATTTTGTTGAGATCACAGCCAAAGATAGAGTAGAAAGTTGAAATGAGATGGTATTAAAGCAAGCTTTTAAAAAGCAATGAGGGTAAAAATTGGTGAAGCAAAAAATGTTTCTGCCAAATACTTGCAAGATGAAAAAACAGTAAGAGGAAAATTATGCCTCTGCTAAATGCATAGAGAGCAAAACACTCAGGTTGCCTTTAAATTAGTTGATAAGGACTGAGTACTATTTAGATATTTAATTACAAAACCAAAAGAGATCATCCATACCATGAAATCCTTGTGGACGAATTCTTTTTGTGCTGATACATAGACCAGTAAGGACAGAATACAGACCTCAAATGCACTGCGAAAGAAATATTCTGGCTCTTCTGACACAAAGATAACATTGTTCTGAAAGTAGAATGGGTCTTAACATCTTAGAATGGATCACACTGCATCCCAGGAATCTGGGTTTGGGATGTCAAATAAGCAAACAAGGTGGATATTTTCAAGTAATTACATGTTACTAAAGAATATTTGCAGACTATAAGCAAATGAAGAGTGGGCAGAGACTTAAATATGTGTAAAGACAAACATGAAGGAACAGAGAACCTGAGAACAGGCTTCTGCAGGTACTTGGAAATAGGATTTTATTGTTGCTCTCTGTCATCATTCCTGGTTCAAATGGCAATTATCCCTCCTATAAGGATCGAGGTCATGAACAGCTTTTTTTCAAAACTGACCACATGATGCAAAATGCATGCACTTTTTTAGAATGTCTGTTTTATATGTATATTATATATTTATACATCTAAGTTCCCCACATAGATGATAAATTTAAATGCCACCAACTGTATTCACGCAGAAAAAAATCCAATAAAAACCTAGAATGTCAAAATTATTTGCATAAATTGACAAAGGTAAACTGGATGCCTGCTGAAATTAGGTATCCATACATTGTACCAACTTTGTATTGAAAAGAAAAGGTGCTAGATAAGCTGAAGTCTTCAAAAAGATATATTTCTTCTTTAAGAGGGAATATTAAACAGATAATTTATTTACTGCTTTATTATTTAATGAATGAGATTTAGGCTGCCACAAAAAATGGCAAAGAGAACTCAGAAATCAGAAAAAATAAAGCAGAATGTATTCTACAATTTGCTTTGAAAATAAAAAAGTCAACATATCATATTTCAAAATGCCTATTCAGACTTTTAAAATAAAAAAGCACTACCTTATTAAAACTTCCTTTAATCATGGGATTTTTTTGTTTGCATGATCTATTCAATTTTATATACATTTCATTAAAGATCCTGTTCAATCTTTGTAAACTTACAGTCATATGAAAACCAAGATTGTTTCCTACTTTACATGTTATCTCCAGAACCTTTTCAACATATCGAAATGAAAATATCTCAGAATGCTCCTGCAGGCACAACATCCTTGAGATACAAAATTTTCCTTCTTCACCTTGTGCTACTTTACTTGACAGGCCTTCCCAGTGGGTGAGCATAGTGGAATGCACAGGGAGGCATGAAGGACACTGCATTCCTCTGGGCACCACAGAGCAATTGGCTTCCTCCAGGACAAGAGACTACCATGCATCTGTGCAAGGCAATGCAACGCAATGCAACCCCAGAGTTTCAAACAGTGGTAACTTCTTGGGTAAAAGCAGTGAAGTGCAACAAGAACTGATTCATGTCTCATTGATTGCACAGAGATGGCTTTATCTATATTTTTAAATTCTAGTGGGACACTCACCTGGGTCTATTTTCAATATTTGCCTAAGTGAGGCAATGAACTAATTCTCACTGAAAGAATATCACATAGCAAGTCAAGATAAGCAGCTCTAGAGTAGCTGCCGATGCTGTAGGTGTCTACAGTCAGGAGAGAGGAACGCTATGGCATTCAGCAAAGGGGCAGCAAAGGCAGCACTAGGCAGGTAAGATCACTAGAAATTAAACCTGGGTTTTCACTCAAGTGAGGGAGCTCAGGAGATTCCACCTCACAGCCTTTACTTACAGACAGCAAATCTGAGAAACTGTCTCAACATGGAGCGTCAGCAGAACATACCTTAGAACACATTCCTAAGTTGATCAACAAGAAGTCATCAGCTCTGAAGTAACCAAAATGAAAAGCTGCTGATCTGAAACTTGTGGTGGATAGCCTGATCATTCAAAACTGCCACAGTGTCAGAGAACTGACAAATGGTAAGGCTATAATGCAAATCTTTGGAAAAGAACTGGGGTGACCCTGGGAACAATAGGGAAAGGTACTTTGGAAAAAAACTATGCTAAGGAAAAGAGCTATTTAGACATATTAGCTAAAGTTGATACAATGGGGAAGAGCTGACACCTATTCTGTAAACATGCCTCCATCTGTTATGAAGAAGTCAGTGGGCATGTGAATAGGAGTGAAGTTTGAAATAAGTTTTCATTAAATTCTTTCAGAAGAGGCTCTTGAAAAGACATTATCTAAGAAGAGAAAGAACCTCTCACAGAATAAAAGTTAACTAAAAACCATAACAGATACTTGCAAACAGTTTTCATGGCTGAGGGAAGTTGCCATAAACATCTGGGCAGTAAAACAGCCAACGAAGGTCAGAGTGGACAAACACTACATAATCAATCATGGGAAAACCAAAATATTCACCTAGCCTACAGAGTAATGGGATATGTGTCATTTTAGGTACTGATGCGAAAGCAATTCATAGGCTATGTCAATACTGGTAATTCAAACTGGGCCATAAGAGGTATTTAATGCTCAATAGTGTTTAAATGTGAGCACACTCTTTACACAGTGTGGTGGGTTGACCTTGGCTGGATGCCAGGTGCCCACCAAGCCACTCTATCACTCCACTCCTCAGCAGGACAAGGGGGGACAAAATAAGATGGAAGAAAAAAACATTGTGGGTCAAGATAAAGGCAGTTTAATAAAGTGAAAGCAAAGGCTGCATGCAGAAGCAAAGGAAAACAAAAGATTTATTCTCTACTTCCCATCAGCAGGTGATGTCCGGCACCTCCTGGGAAGCAGGGTTTCAGTACATGTAGCAGTTGCTCCGGAAGACAAACATCATAAATAATAAATGTCACCAATTCCTCCTCCTCCTTTGTCTTAGCTTTTATTGCTCTGGTCAGTTTGGGTCAGCTGTCGTGACTATGTCCCCTCCAATGATCTTGCCCATCCCCAGCCTACTGGTGAGGGGGGAATGTTGGAAAGACAGCATTGATGCTGTGCGAGCGTTGCTCAGCAGTAGTCAAAACACTGGTGTGTTATCAACACCCTTCTAGCTACTAATACAAAGCACAGCGCTATGAGGGCTTCTGTGGGGACAATTAGCACCATCTCAGGCAGACCCAATACACACAGTCTAGCCCGCACCAATCTGCATTCTCCCAGGCAATGCCTGGGCAGGGTGCAAGAGTCGCCATTCTCAACATATCGTCTGCCTGCTGCCAGCCTATTTTCAAATAACTCTAACGGCACACATGCAGAATGAAATGCATCACTTGTTTTCAGCGTTAGAGAACACTTGTAGCCCCTGCTGGCATGACCATCAAAAAAAAGCAGTTCTACTTTCTCCACCTCACTTCTGGCTGCTCACTCCCATCCTATGCTCATTCTTTTGGCACAAGCATTGCTGCAGTCACACTATAAAACCAGATGAGGAAACAGATCTGGCTTAAAACCAACCATTTTTCCAGGGTTAATTTTTAAGCCAGATCATTTCCCTATTTTGGGTCACTATACAGCTCCACAGGCAGCTGTGCTAGTACAAATGAGGAGATACAAGGATAAGAACGAGTAGCTGAAGGAAGACCTGCTTCTTTCAGTAGGGATGCTGGTTGTGCAGCTAAAAGTCTTAGATGAACCTGAGAATTAAGTTGGCTCATAAAACATGTAATAGTATACTAGCTCTCCCTCTCTTCATCCCCATTCAAAGAGACACACACATTCCCCCTCCTGCTTTTGCACCAGGACAGGCATCTCTTGGACCAGTGGTGGGCAGGTTCACAGAGTTAGGCTTGTAGGAAAGCATTTGCGTTTTGTTTAGATGAACTTTCTGGTTACTCACTCTGGAGACAGAGGGGCACCAATGCCATCTTAAGGGAAATGGAAAGACCACTTTTTTCATCAGTGGCTATTATCTTTAGCATTGTTAATCACATTACAAGAAGAGAAAAGATGTTGTTATCTGCAAAGTAGAAAAATGCAACAGCAAACAGAGAAATTACTTGTATATTACCCTCTGCAGAAGAAGGGTAAGGAAGAATTTTACTTTACCTACACTGCTGAGATGGCCTGACAGCGTTCTGCAAGTGCCACTCAATGAAAGTAGCAAGCAGAAAGTTTAAATACAAACAATCAGACAGACCCTTTCACATGACTTTTCATCAAATTGTGAAATTCATTATCAGACAATGTTGGGAAGACCAGGAAGACAAAACGGGTTAAAAAGGGATCAGACAGTGCAACAGAAAGCAGAGCAGCCAATAGCTATCAAACATTGCCACAGAAATGCCGACTGGCAGAAGGTGGGAAGCATATGTCTCTGGAAGGGTCACTCTACGCAGATTCGCTCCCCCCCACCCCAAGCATTTGCTACCAGTCAGTATCATTAACAGTAACTTAAAATGGCAGGTCTTATGCCAGGTATGTATTAAAATTAGTTCATAACATTTTCTCATTATCATTTAGACTTTGCTTGAGAGTGTTTCAAAACACATAGGTTTTTTTTCTCCTTCTTCTTTAAAGGAGAATAAATCACCAGAAAAATTAAAGGCAAAAGACTGAAGAGTCACAAACAAGTGGTATCATAACAAGGATCCTGGACCTACAGCTCTGAAAAAAAAGACCTTTTTCTATCACAGGATCATTTTTCAGTTGGTGTGACAGGGAACAACGCACACACACTGTTGTTGTATGCAAAACAAACTTTCATGTTGACATGACTGAACCCACAAAGAAACACCCTCCTTGCCCAGTGAAGACAACATTCCTTCTCTCCTTTTCTTCTTGGTGTTGCACTCACCGTCTCCATCTGACACCTTGGTTTAAAGGGACTAAAGGTTCTCAACTGGTGCAATAAAGTGTTTATCCCTCTTTCCAAGTGGAAATAGCTGTGCTCTAGCCCCACTCTCTGCTATCGTCAACAAATGCGCAAACTCTAATACAGTGTTGGCAGCAAGGCAGATGAAGAATGTGATTTCTAACTCAAGAAGGATGTTCCCCACTACAGCAAATACTGGAGAAGCTGCCAGTTAATAATTTTTTGTCTAGTAACCTGCAGGGCCTGCTATGCAATTTAAATGACAGTCATTATGTTTTGAGGAATTGTAATGTAAAAGAGTGATTTAAAGACAGTTTGGGATAAGATCCTTCCCAGGACTGCAGGCTCTGGGAGTACAGGCTGCTCATGAGATTTCACATGGATTGCCTCTTCCATCTCAGAGCCCTGTCTTCCCCACTGCATCATTCCTGGCACAATGGGCTGGAATTGCAGTTTTTAGCCATGGATCATGGACAGATCCAAGGATTTAGAGAAAGAACTGCCCTGGGCACTTACCCTCAGCTTTGCAGAGGGTAAGACCATTGACATCACGTTTGTACTGAAAAAGCATAACTGGGTAATAAAAAGCGTAGTTTCCTGTTGGGTCATAGTTTCAGTGCAACTGTGGTCTCAGCATGTGGTACACTTCTGTGTGCATGCTATATTGTTTCTGTGTCTGCATCAAATTGTAATAACTGTGAAGAAAATAGCTTGTAATTAAGCAACTAGGGAGACAGCAGATGGATGCAGACAGATGGGAGCACACTAGGAAGCTATGAGACAATATTGGTCAGCATGACAAGCAATAGTCACAGCACACTATCAGCATAATGTCTACAGTCTCAATGACAGTTATTGGTGAGTTTTAAGAGCATATTGGATAGTAATAAAGAAAATAGCTTTTTACATGCTTCTGACACTCCTTTGTAGGGGTGTGGGGCAGAACAGAATATAGGTGTTTGTCAAAAAATCGACAAAATGTTTGAGAAGGTGGCAGGCTGCATGTGGAGGCCGGCATGGTGTCCACTGATGCAGATGAAGAGAAGTGTATGTCTTACCTGTCTACCCAAAACCAGTAATGTGACGAAGAATATAAACAAAGAAATTGAGCCCATTGTCTTCAAATCTTTCAGTATTCCTGGCCTATAAAATAAAAACATAAGTAAAGCAAGCTGCTCAAAAATTAAAACAAAATTACTTTAGCACAAGACCACAATTTACACTACTTTCTGGTATGTAAACTATGTCCATTTAAATATGATATGCTTTATTATTTGATGAAATATTATTTCCATTATGTAACGTTAGTTACTTCTACTACATTCTGTGTGAATGTGCCTACATTTTGAAGTCCACTAATAAGATGAGGATTTAGTAAAAACAATATCCTTGTTTGCTTACAAATGGAGAGCACTTGGTGCTTATTCTATACAGGCAGATTAGAAAGAGATTTTTAACGTAATAATGCTGCTTCCGTAATGGAGCGCTTGACCATATCCAATGAATGTGAAGAAACAGAAACTAAAGCACCTAAGTCCCCAGATGCTTTTTCACCTCAGAATTACAGAAGGCACAAACTAGATCTTGTATGGAGTTTATTAAAAACTCTGCTTTGGGAAAAGACACTAGAGGTAATGGGAAACTGTTCACACTAGCACTGTCCTACTGATGCCACTGAAAGAGGAACCTTGGTGAGAGATTTAGTAAGGAAAATACCAACAAACAGCTTGACTGGAAAAATCAAGGCTGCCAGAAGTACATGCTCAGTCTAACCTGTCCCATGGCTCTCCATCCCATCACAGAGATATCCTTTCTGCTAATGCGGAAACAAAGACCCAGGATTGTTCATTTAATCTTTAGATTTAAGTGCAAAGAAAACATACACTTTTCCTTTTTTTAATTCAGATCCTTTTCCATGGTTGTCTCTGTGTCCTAAAGATCTCGAGCAGTTTACAGCACAGGAAAAAGGATACTGAAACTCTGCTCTGAATATTCATTTTTTGTGTTGTGGCATATGCACTGCACACTCAGCCTACATAGAAAGGAATCACCTCTTTGTTTTGAAAATGAGGTAGAAATTACAGGTGTCCAAAAATTATTTTACACAGCAATATTTAGATTTAGAGTCCTAATTTTGGTCTTATATATTATCACCTATAGCAAAGATTTCAGTGGTCTGAATTAGCAAGCACAGCAAAAAAAATCCAAACTGTTGGTCTACTAATTTTTCAATAGCTAAGACTGCATTTGTAAAGTTTTAAGACAATGTACTAGTTCCGAGGAAGTTGATTTTCTTTGGCTTGCAGCAAATATGCTTTAACAGCCTTAATTATGTTCTGCCTTATGCATTAACAACCTTAATGATGACTTCTTCCTAATGTCCTTTATTACAAAAATGCAAATTAAAACATATTCTATTTCCTACAATATATGATTTAAACACCTTGCCCAGACTTGTTTATTTTATTCTAATGCTTTGATGTGTAACATTAAATCATATATTAACTACAGCATGACAATGATTTTAAATTGTGGCTTGGAGATCATATAGTCAAACACATAGGAAAAAAATCTGTTGCTACTACCGCTATAGGTAGTACTTAATTTCTATTAATTTCAGAAGGACTGGAGTTATCCACCTACCTTCTAAGAGGTGCCATTGCATACATAAATTTGCTGTAGTCATCCAGCATGGGTCCATGAGTGTGCAGAAGTATAACATTGTAGCCCACCAATGCAATCAACATTATCACCATTTTCAACTCATAATTTATCCTCAGGAAAACAGAACAGGAAATGAGCCCTAATATGCAGCTGTATATAAAATACTGGCAAAGAAAAATCAAATGGAAAATATTTAGAATTTGGTCTTGAGTAGGAAATCATACATAATAAAATGCTCAGGCTAGTTTAAAAAACAAATTATTGACTGACCACTTAAGGCATAGAATCTATCACAACCTGGGACACTATGGTTTACAGACAGTCAGTAACAACCAGATGTTGGTATTTCATAAAATAGACCCTTTTTCTTACTAGGCTCCAATTCACCCAAAACTCAGTAGAATCCAGATTACGCTCCTAATTTATGCTCCCTAATTTTCACCCTTTATCACTTTTGATTTACTCATCTGCAATAGCGAGCAGTGCCTATTCGTGGGACACCACTACTGGTAAAGTTGAAGTTGAAGTCTAATGGAAGAGCCTACTGCCAGCAGAATGACAAAAGATTTCTTCCTGTGCCACTGTATGATTTTCACTCATGCTTGTATTCAGTAACTACCCTGTATGTATCACTAGCATAAGGGTCAAGGTAAAATGTCTAAAGATTTCATTGCCTATATTTGCAGTATTTATAAATTGATGCAATAAACAGTTGTTATGAACCTCATAGATATACAATTTCACAAACTCTAGAAATACAGTGAAGATATGAAAAATACAAAATTAGTAACATGGCCTATGGATAATATAAATATATAAAAAAATCTTTCTGTCAAATCCTCTTGAATTTTGACGACAGAAGAACACATTCAATTGTTAAAAAAAGGGTTTTTTTCCTATGTGATATATATCAACAAAAATATGTATGGTTGAAGTTAAATTCTTGGAAAAATATTTTCTCTGGATGTTTTCTGGAAATGGATTAGGGCATCAAAATTAGTGCTAAAACAGGAATAATACATTATCACTAGAATCATTATCTTGGTCCTTAACATACAGCACCTTTGCCAAAGACACTTCCTGAAAATTAGTCCTGCACCTTGTGAGGAAGTTATCTTTTCTGAAGCTACAAAGCATTCTATTTCTAGATATGCTATTTTCAGACTACTGTTGACTTGTTGATGGCAGTACTTTTGAAAGAACCTGAATGTACTGTGTACCAATTTTGGAGGATCACTAAGAAGAATATTTTTCACAGCATCCATCAGACAGAATTGATCTGCCATCTCAATCTCTGCCATTACTGTACCTTGCTTGCAGATCTGTTTGAAATAAGAAATAGAAAGAACTACTGTTCAGAATCACCAAAAATAAAATTTCTCTGATGGCTGCATTCCACAGGAGGTCACTCTCTGAACTCAGTGTTACATAAGCGTAGCAGCATCCATTTTTTACTCTGTAAGCCAGTCTACTTGTGAAATCAGTTTTCCAAAAAGAAACAAGCAAACAAAAGGCAGTCTTGAATCCACAACTGGATGCAGTTTGACAAAGACCAAGAAAATTCCAAGTGGAATAGACAGTCTCTCTTAGTGTTCCACAGGAATACATAGACTAGATTGAAAATTTCAGCTAAGATTTCAGACAAGGGTTGATGGATTGAGAAGAGTGGCACAGCCACACATTTAAGAATGCAGACTCTGATATTGTTTATTACAATGCACGAGTCCGGTAAGCAACAGGCAGATCTGGAAATGAGTCTGTAGGCACCTCTGCTTGAACAGCCACACCAGGTTATGAAGCTTTTTTTTTTGAAAATGTCACCTTAAATAAACCTTTTTCCAACCATAACTTACATACATTCAAGGCTATTGTTTCTGACTGCTCGACACTACAGAGGAATCAATGCCCAGCTACGAAAAAATTACTTTTGTGTGCAGGTATACTTGTTGTGTGTGTATATAGATATATATATACACACACTTGCATATACTATACAACAAACTTGTTTCTTAGTGAAGACCTGTTTCAGGCTTGTTCATCTTACACCTCTGTACAACCTACTGAAGAAAGAAATGTGCTCAGACTACTCAGGCATTGAGGCTTTTTCCAAGGCAGAGAGTTGCAGTGACACCAATCCTTTCTAGTGACCCTGACCGGAAAACCACCGCACACTGAAGAGCTGGCAATCTGCACAGCAGTGAAGCTGCGCGGGCACGGCCCATGCCGTGCTCGGTGTATCCCTTGGCTGCAGGACAGCCTCAGCCAGCTCGGCCAACTTATTGCAACCAAGGAGCCTGCAGGCAGCTCCCACTTGGTAGTGGTGGTTGTGCCACCTCTGTGACCTTGACTTTATCTAACAGTGCAGCAGCAAATTCTCATGGACGTCATTTTTGTCTGACAGCAGAAATCATGAATAGAAATGTTTCCTTTTAAGAAAATCCTGCAAGAGCTCAAAAGAGGAAAATGCTGGGTAACCTCTCCACAGGTGGGATCTGCACCTCATGCTGTCCCTGATGCTGCACAATTCAGGGTTCCCAGCATCTGAAGGGATGTATCTCCAATAAATGGTATCTTAACCAATACTTACAGAGTCTGAGCGCCTTTCTTACCGGGATCAAACATCCAGTGCCTTGCACCAGTGCACTACACCCTTAGGATCCAGCCTAGAGCATTTGGTCTCTTCTCTTAAAATTTAAGACCTACGGTTCTGTGGTTATAAAGATCTACTAAAGTAAAAAGGGATTCTATTCCAATATGTCTGTGGAGAAAAACTTGAGAACAAAGTAATTTTGGAATACCCTAGTCAAATAAAGTATATTCCAAAACTGCATCTTTTAGAAATCAGTATTATGACTTTTATTTATTTAACCTGTGGAGGTGGCAGCACTGATACCAGACTGTATTTTATCACAGGAACAGATAGGCACGGCTTGAAATGTCCCAGGCCTAACTTCTATTATATGGAAACTACAGAAACGTCATAGCAAAGCTAAACAAAACTAAACACAAGCAAAGTCCCTATAACTTACTGTGTAATCTTTGCTAAGTCTTTAAAAAGAGCAAGAAAGCCAACAATGCAACTCAGAAAAGTTATTTTGAAGGGTGGAGGAGGGAGAGAATTAGTTTGATTCAAAATGAACTAAATTCTATTGGGGCTGAAATAATTCAAAAATCTCTTAATCACTCATTTTAGATGACATAGTCAATAGATCTGTCAGGTCCACTATCATAAATCACAGGAAGTTTATCTACATGAATAAAGCTTAAAGCTAACACAGATTCAAAAGATTGAATTTTTAATTTAAGGAAACAAACATTTGTCAGCTTAAGTATTCGATATCTCATTCAGTAAAGAGAGAATTTTATTTCCAGATTTTTTTAAAAAAATTAAGATCAAAAGTAGTAACTCAAAAAGAATTCGTAGCTTTTTCACGTTAGAAGTTATGCAGTGCCTGAGGACAAAAACGATGTACTTTTGAGGGTTGTTTAATAAAAAAAAGTGAGAAGTTTTTTGTTATTATCAGAAGTGACATTTAAATATAATATTAGTGCAAATTTAACAAAGTTTCTTTGATGAAAGAATGCATTTTAATAGTTTAATAGTTTAAGAACTATAAACCACTAATTGTTAGAAATGTGCCAATCACATGAAGAGCTGACAAACATTTTAGTTATACATGGGAAAACAAAGGAAAGGACCACAAAGATTATTTTTTTTTAAGAATAGCAGATTGAATCTTAATAATAAGTATAATTTATGAAAAATGTATCCTTCCGATGCTTGTTAGAGAACTTACTGGTAAAAAGAGAACAGAATATCTTTCAAGATGTTCAAAACTATAACAAGTAATATAAAAGAAGATGACTAGAAAACCCGATAACTAAAGAAGGAAACAAATATAAATAAGCATTGGAACAATTTATTTCTATGTGCTTGTGAGTGTGAACACATGCAGAGGCTGAGAGAAGGATTGTAACATTTCTTTGACAACAAGGATAGCTTGATGTCAGGGGCAAAAGAAGACACAGGCACCTATCAATACCTGGTGGTATTTAGTTGGCTAAATTTGAAAATGAGAAACAGAAACTCATGCTCTCCTGTTGCTTTAACAGGGAGATGCTGAAAATCTGTAAGTGCTGCAGTTACTGCAACTGTTTTTTTTCCAGGAGAGTTCTATACATAATTAACATCTTGCTTTTGTGTGTGCCTAGGACTGTTTAGCTTGACATAGTGAATAGCTGTTTCATGTAAAACATATTGTGTGGAAATCAGCACACACCATTCTGGCACTGGTCTCATTAATTCTGCATAGAGATAAAATAATCCCCCTTCTCTCGCTGCCTCCTGCTTATTCATCCAAGGACTGTTGACCTATTTTGGCGCAATATACAGCTTGTTATGTTCAACTGCAGGTCTTTTGTAATCCCTTTAAGAATCACTGCTCTCTAGGATACAGATCCCATTTTTTTGCAGCAATGTCCTTCCCTCTCTTTTTGCATGTGTCACCGTGTTTTTGTTCACACTAAGACATCTTCTTCAAATCAGTTTTAAATAGTTTATATAGTGGTACATGAGTGCTGCACTTCCCCTCCTTTCACCCCGCCTCTTAATCAAATATGCAATGACAGAAGTGTGATGATCGCAGATTTCACATTTACTGCTAGGTCAATAATGAAAATGGTGGATATTTTCAGGTCTACCACTGGTCCTTGTGAAACTCGTCTGCAGACCAACCTGGCTTTCAGTGCACAGTCTGCTTTGCAGTCGCTGTGTGTTCTCCTGATATCTCGTAACACCCGTTTGTTGGCATGGGTGAGCTACACTTCCTAGTTATCATCCTGTTTTCTACTTTTTAATCTGACATTCATCAAAACCTCTATTTTTGGAAGTACTAAGCTCCTTTAACTTCCCACTTACTTCAAATGCAGTCGCAGGTGACTGGAAAAAAATCAAGCTTTTGCTGCAGTCTTAAAAACTGGTGGGTGTTTAACCTCAAGCAGATCTGGCAACAGTCAATTTAGTGTAATTGTTGTAAACAAACAAAGAAATGTAAAATGAACTTACTGGTAGGAAAAAACAGTTGTTTTGTATACACCACCGTGTCTGATTACTTGAATTAGGAAAACTTGCATTTGATGAATTAAGAACTGAAGGAAAAGCTTTCACAGCATTATCCAGGAAAAACTAGAGAAAAACAACATATAATACATTAGCTTGTCAACTGTTTAAGGTCAAAATAGAGAATAGAAATAAAGAAGTGGATAAAGCCTTGCCAGTAATCATTTAACTTTGGTATTTTATTGCAAATTGAAATAGCAAAGGGAAAATGACATTACTCAATTACTTGTTCCTGCATCCTCGGACAAAACCAACTTTGTTAGCCTCCATCTGACACTTTCCATTTGAATAAAAGACTAAAGGCTCTTTATTATGTTACGTTCATATATCAGAAGCTCACACACATGAGAGACAATGATGAAATAAATTCAATATAAATAATTCCTGGGTTTACCCCAACTGAACCTCCTATTTAAACACACAAAGAATTAAAGAAAGAATAAGAAGTCTTTACTGAAGTTGATTTACACAGATATAATAACATAATAACGAAGACATTAATATTGGGACTACCATTGTTGAACCAGAAGAGTAGAACCAGTATCTTCTGGGTCATCAAATTCAGCCAGCTGATGTCACAGGTAACAATCATCATACAGTACCCCTTGATGAATTAATCCAGTGCTTTCTTAACAAGTTAGATTTCTGTGACTGCATTAAATCCACTGCTTTGAATCTCACCATTTAAACTGTTTCTACGTTTAACTAGTATTCATGGCCAGTTCCTATGTTTTCTTCTTGTTCTAATCATGTCCTTTAGCTTTCAGATAGCTCCTTGCTCTCCCTAGTATTTACATTCCTAGTATTTAATGCTATCTCAGCCTTCATTATGCTCAGCAATCTACATTTTTCTAGTTTCTTCCTGGAAAACAAGCTCTTCATTCCCCCAATCATTCTAGTAGTCACTCTCTGTACATACCTCTTTCAATTCAACCTTCTGGGTGACCAAAACTGCAAATACACTTCCCAGATTTTATCATGAGTCATGCAATAGCATTAATACTAATTCTGCAGAAAATATGTTTTCATACATCCTAGAATGACAGCTCCTTTGCTCACAGCTACAAAACCTTAATAGCTCACCGTACCTCACGCAACTGGGGCTCAGACAGATCATAATGTTATAGCAGCTTAACACATTGCTGCAAATTGATATAATCCCAGCCACTAACATCATGGTCAGTAAATGTGAGGTAGCTTTTCTTCATTGGGACAATGCGGTTTATACTTACCATGAGTTAAGAGCAGTCACATGACTGGTTATTGTGATTCAGCTGAATTGTCATTAAACACATGTAATTAAGTAAAATCCTAAACCCATCGCATCTCCATCTGATGAGCTTCCAACTTGTATCATATCAGAATTTCTTGTCACTGGTCTGTCAGACCAACCATAATCTTGCATTATGTACTACTAAATTTCATCCTAGTTCTTTTACTCAAATCCTCAGCTGACTTCTTAATTTCTAAAATCCCAAGCCTTCCCTCACAGACATTGCCTGTCACCTTAATTTCATTAGCAAATGTTACAGTTCCTCTCATACACTGTATATGAAAATCCACACGGGGTTGACCATTGCAGAGCTCCACATGTTGCCTCCCTCTCGCCCGTTGTTCTCTGCAGGTAGCCAGTTTGTAACCCACCTCTAAATTCTTTCCCCACCCCCATCTTTACCTACTGCCCCAGAGAAAAACTGCTCAGTTTCACTCAGAGTAACCAAATGTGGATCAAAATGGTTTATTGACTTACTAACTAATGCTGGATCTGGTCAACCACAGGTCTGTATAGTCAAGTCTTGAAAACTTTGAAGGATGGAGATCACACAGTCCCCGTTGGCAACGCGTCCCAGCACTGTACTACACACAGAGTCACTTTTTTTTGTCTTTTTAAAGACTATCCAACCTCCCAAGCCAACCACTACCCGTGGCCCGTGCCCCTGCGGCGCTGCTGAGAAGAGTTTGAAACCATTATCTCTGTGATACCCCTTCAACAGAAGCAGGGCCCGTTGTGGACTTGCAAAGGTGATCGATATGCCACCTGCTACCAAGACCAACTTGGCACTCACTTTTGTTTGTATAGTTGCATTTTCAAGTTGTCTTCCTTCACTAACATGCTTCTCTGATACATAATTAACCTGCAAACAGTGAACCATACGTTCAGGATCAGTATCAGTAACACCACAGATAAACTGCAAAACCGGACCCTACAAAATGTTAATAAACACCTATACATTTTGAAACACCCTTTGATCTCAAAGAGCTCTAATCACGTGCACACACACAGAGTTATATGCACATCTGCCCCTTCTCACAGGACGTGGGGGTTAAATGCACACACTCCCTCTTCTGGGAGTGCGGGGTTACCTTACTTGCACACCCCTCCTGTAAGGAGATGTGGGTGCTCTAGCTTTATGTGCACCTGTGCAACTCCCTGCAAACTGTTAATGCACATGCCAGTGAGAAAGCACTCGGCGAGTCCACGCGCACAGACAAACCCGAGGTGTGGGTCCCTGCTTGTCACGGCCCACGCTGCTGCCTGCCCAGCTGCAGAGCAGGCAGCTCATGGTATCCCACGGGAAGGCTGCTCTCGCTGGCCAAGGCAGAGGTGTGATGCCAGAGGGGTGACTTACGGCAATGTCAAATCAGGTTTTGACAGCCAGCTGTTTCTACTCATAGGTCTCTGCCTCCTGTTACAAATTTCCATGGTGCTTTGGTACTTCTCACACTATTTCCTTCTTTTCTTTGGAATTCCTTCTGAAGTCCCTTGGTTACTCTCTAACCCAGCTCATGTTGGTCTTCCTTCTTAACAGGAACAATTCTGGGCAAAGGCCCTCCAGACAGCTTCAAGTATTTGACCCCCCTCCCTGTCCCCAACTATTTAAAATGACATTCTGATCTCAATAGGTGTTGTTAACCAGGTCATTTGCCAAGCATGGGCAAAGAGAGTCCTCACATCCCACTAACAGTGCAGCTACCTTTTCTGCAAACATGAAATAACTGCATTTAGTTTCAGAATCCCATCCCACACATGTTCACAGAGCAAAAGATTACATACCATGAAGAACTCAAACACAATTATATTAACATATATGTGTATATGTATTTCTGTATATTAATTTCTATTAAAGCATTTTAATTTTGATTTTGAGCTCTGTACAGGGCATTTCTGACCTATAAATGTTACCTGTATACACAGAATGCTACATGAAATGTGGTATATCTGTTCAGTGAACTTTCTTCATTTCAATACATAAATAAATATAGAAAGGAAAAAAAAGGATATGGAAATGTTGTCATCTCCCATGAGCCAAACAACACTTATTTCTGAATGATGTGTTTGTACTTGTCTTTCTTGTATTTCATGAGTTATCTACATCTGCTATCACGCTTTGGAGATATATATTGTTCTTCAATATAGTATTTTTTTGTAAGAGACAGCTCAGTCCTACTAAGCAGTCACACCTACTCAAATGACTCAAATGAAAGCAATATTTTTATGAATACCAATGTTTGCCAGGGAACATCTGAGCACACTACCATTAAATTCTCATTTTAACTTCATATATTCTAACAGCTTTTTCTTTTTTTTGTGTTCATATAATCTGCAATCTTCAGTTGTGAGTTTTTTGCCTCACATGATGAAAATATCTGCTGTGCAGCTATTTCTTTCAATAGGAGCCATGTGGCGACAGACCCCCCCCCGCCCCCCCAACACGGCATAAGCCAGTTAGTGTATCTTCCTTGTTATCTGACCAAGGATCTGCAAAAGACTACTTAGTACACTAGTTTAGATCTTACTAAAAACAAAGCCAACTTTCTCACTAATGTACTATTAGTTTAGTACACAAGTCTTCACTAAGGACTACTAGTTTAGTCAACCCGTCTCTACAATCCACAAGGCACCAGAACCAAGGTTTCACAATGAACATGGTCCAATAGCCTGTAAATGTCGCCAAGGCAAACAGGTTGTTTCTCACCTTACTAAGCAAGGAGGCTTTCTGATTTCGATGTTAATGTGCATAAAATAGCATCCTACTGAGAAGAAGGAAAGGTGGCAGAATTTAATATTAAGTGCACTTATAAAATCCACAGTGAATTAAACAATTATGGAATAAACAATAAAACATGTAAAGTTTTAATAGTTACTATGTGAATGGGTTGATCCCATGACAGATGGGCAGGAGGGAGAGAGCTGGGAAATACCTCGCCATTGAACCACTGAATCACAAAGTAAAAGGCAAAATTAATTGGTTCAAGCGCCACAGATAGTTCAACTGTGTTATCAACCTGTGGTAGCACGATGTCATGCAGTAGCCATCTGTAAAGACAAATACTAATATCATTTTCTGTGCAAAAAGAAGGCACGGGCTACCCTCAGAGCACTAACAAGTGCGCTTTCGCATTCCAGCAAGAAATCCGCAGCCCAGAGGTAAGCTCTTTAGGAAGCAGGTGCTCCGGGATCAGCAGTTCCAGAGCAGAGCTGTGCTTAATCAATGGAAGCACATAAGCAGCAAAAACAAAGATCTGGCACTCTACCAAAAAATGCAGCTTAATTGAATTCACAGCTTACATTTAATTTGATCCGATAATTGTTTTCTCTTCCTTATATAAAATTACACTGCAAATGGACATGTGAAGACTATAAAAAAAAGTATAAAAACCATCTTTGTTACCATCCCTCTCTCTCCCCACTACCTCCTTGCCTCGTATGAACACGCAACTATACTTTAAATTATTTTTCTGCCATTGCAGAAAAGCTATGCAATCTCCTCAAGACACAATGTTCTACAGTTTTTATAGTGCTGTTGTAAACAAAGTTGTTCATGTTTGTTCAGCAAAAGATAGAGTGAGAAGAGTATACTTCTATGTATGGCAGAAGCATGCAAGTCTGGTATCATAGGCTGAACTAGAGAATTTACATTTTTCTTAACACAAAAAAAATGAAGCAATGATGCTTTTGTTCAGCATTGCTCTTTTGTTTGAACCTCTAAGGCAAACATGCAGGACTCCTTTGTTTTTAATTTTTCTACCAACTTTCCAAATATCCATGTGGCTTAGGAGAACTTTCTTCTCAAAATGTGTATCTCTGCTTCCTTTGAAAAATGCCAGTTGGTCTGGCAGATGAGTCAGGAATTTATCCCCAGATTTCCACACAAATGCTGCAAGAATAGTATGGAGAATCTCAAATTCTGGTATCATTCCTCCTCTTCGCAAGCTCATAAGCAGAAGTTTAAGGACAGCCTGGAACACTAAGTATCTCCTACCTAGGCTATTAAGCATTTTTTGAATAAACAAGAGGTGATGTTGAGATATTGGTAAGATGGAAAAGGATGATGAAGATCCAGGTAGTACTGCGTGCATTGAATAGGATTTTTAGAGCATTTTGTCTCTGGGTTTGTATATGACTTCTTAGCTTCAAAGTGCTCATGCATCTGTATTATTTGGTGTCCTGTGGTGTGTCTCTTGTTAATAGTCAAACTTACCGAATTCAAATTGCTCCATAATTTCATTTAATTTTTCATAAAAGTTTATGTGTCAAGTGAAAATACGTAAATATGTAGGTGCCCCCATGTATTCAAGTCCCAGCCTCCCTGTAGAGGCAATACGCAGTGGCAAGCAACTGCCTTGTTCAAAGCTCGCAGTGGCATTAGGTAAGAAAGAGAGTAGACTGCTGGGCCTTTACAGACTCAGATACCTTTATGGTGTTTGACAGACATGGGGTGATGCTCACTTACGTGGGTTCATCTTTGCTGAACTGTGGAGCAAATGATCATGTGATAGCACAACTCTCTCTCTCGCCCCACACACTTGAAAGACACTAGAACTGCTGTAAACATTATTTTCAGGATGGTATCTCATCTGCTAGTGCATTTCTGCTAAGCCAGTGTACCTAGATTGATACTGATTTTGCTAAGTTTCTTAAATCCTGTCTGGAATGGATTTGTGATGGGGTCCTGCATGTACCACTTAAATGACATGACTGCAGCTGTGCATTCCCCTTTCTCCTTCCAACTCCTAGGCCAGGTCAAGCTCTAGGCAGTATCTGTTCATTCTTCGTAAAGAAATGCATTAGGCACCCTCCAAAACAAGGCCTGCAATGTGCTAGGCACTGTAGGGACATAAAATTAGAGCATATCTGCCAAAGAGCTTGCCTATTAGAAATACAGCACTAAGCAAGGTCAGCAATTGTATTAACAGTTAGCTACACTAAAAGGAAAGTATATTAAGGAAACCAGCTTTCTACTATGAGAATAGAAGCAGGTTTGCCTAATTATTTGTCATTATTAAAACACAGGATATCAGCCACGACTAGAGGGAGAGCAATATAGGGCCAATAGTTGCATCATTTAAGGTAACTCGTGCTCACAGATGTACATTAAACAATGGAGCAAAAATACTGAAACCTCTGTCAGTCTTCACATTTCTAAAGACATGTTCTTTAAAAGGAAATAGTCTAGTTGTTCAAAATTCACTGGACAAAAGACAGAAAGGCAAGTAACATCCAGTGGAGGGAAACAAAATTATCAGAGGGCTTGGGCAGCTCTCCTGTGAAGAAAGGCTGAGAGAGTGGGGTTGTTCAGCCTAGAGAAGAGGGGAGATTTTACTGCAGTCTTTCAGTACTTAAAGGGGACTTATAAGAAAGATGGAGACAAACTTTTTAGTAGGGCTTGTTGCAATAGGACAAGGGGTAAAATTAAACTATAAGAAGGTAGATTCAGACTAGATATAAGGAAGAAATTTTTTACAATAAGAGTGCTGAAACACGGGGAGAGGTTGCCCAGAGAGGTGGTAGATGTCCCGTCCCTGGAAACATTCAAGGTCAGGCTGGATGGGCCTCTGAGCAACCTGATCTGGTTGAAGATGTCCTTGCTCATTGCAGGGGGGTTGGACTAGATGACCCTTAAAGGTCCCTTCCAACCCAAACTTTTCTATGACTCTGTGATCCTGAACCTGAAAGCTGGTAGTTAGGGCACCCTGCTGGGACAGCATAGTCCTGAGATCCTGTTGCTGTGCCAAGAACCATTCATGCATTCGATGCAGAAGTCACTGAAACAAAGAGTTGTTCCAGGGCTCTTTCATCATGCCATGTTCCTCGAGATCACATGAATCCCAGAGGATGGTGAGGCACAATCATTTGATGTACTGGATACAGTCATTCATTCAGTTTCCAAGAATCAACCCTTTGCAGTCATGCAGTCCTGCTGTCTCTCTGAGACGTCTGCGTTGTTCCCTGCAGTATACTTTCTCATGTTTGGTTTAGTGCAAGTCAGCTTTATAGAAACAATTTTCCTAGCCATCGATTGTAGCCCTACTCTCTGTATAGCACCAGATCTAAAGCTCAATGGAAGCAGCATTAGTCACCCTCTCCTTTCAGCTAAGAACTATTTGATACTTATGTCACATTAGCTGTTTTTTTAACTTCCCTCCACTGATCATGACTATATAACTCTCGAATGTGAAGACTAGATTCAGATGTCTGCTGAAACAGCTAATTTGAAATAAAATTGTACCTGCACTCTTTACTAATGTCCCTCGACCATAAAGACTGAGTTTTATTTGACATTTTGGTCTTAATTATGATTTATTAGCTGTGGGATGGTTACACGCTTTTTATCTCCATTAAATCTTAATGGCTACATTTTGCCTTTTTCTACTGAAAGAGTTCATGGAAATAAATGCAGTTAATGGACTCAGCTATTAAGTACATGTTGCTTGGAGATATAATAATGATACTTCAGAGTCTCTCCCACAATTTGCTATTAATATTAAGGAAATGCAAATTTCACAATCACATTTAAAGCAATTTTTGCTAGTCGAATTATTAAGGTTTAGTTTCAAGGTGGGAATTGTACTTAAAATTATCATCTCATGAATATCATGGAACATGATTATTTGTAACACTGCAGTCATTACTGATGAGGCACAAAGACTTTAAAATACAGCCTATTAAGCTTTACTGTAACATTGAGTCCACATAAAAATGGACTTGAACCAATAAAATTAAAAATGTTTTCTAAAAATGATGTACTGAACAACTACTTTTTTGCTAGAATGCCTTTTACTAGTTGAAGGCCAAATTTCAAGTGGGCTGTACACAATAGTAGAACTTCAGTCTAAGGAAAAAACAGTTGCTGAGCATATCTTCTTTTACACTTTTTAACTTAATAAATAACTATATGGTCGCATGATCTCTAACTCAAAGTATGCTTTAAACCCTGGCAGGTTATTTCATTTCTTCTTATACATTTGGAGAGTTCGAAAGAAGAGACAGTCTAATCTGACCTTCAGTTTACAAGCTACTCCATCTCTGGGTTTTGTCCTGTAGTATGCCAAATAACCTTTGCTTGGCTAAAGGTTATAGTTCATAAAGGCATATAGTCTTCAGCTGAGGACAGGAAGTAATGGAAAATCAACAACTTTTCACAATAATTGTTCCGACTGCTAACTGACTTCACTGCTGAAAAGTCATAGAATCATAGAATCATAGAATCATTATGGTTGGAAGAGACCTCAAAGATCATCAAGTCCAACCGTACACCTGATGCCACCCTGTCCACTAAACCATGTCTTGAAGTGCCACATCTAAATGTTTTTTGAACATCTCCAGGGACGATGACTCCACCACCTCCCTGGGGAGCCTGTTCCAATGCCTAACAACTCTAACGGTGAAGAAGTTCTTTCTAATGTCCAGCCTGAACCTCCCCTGGCGCAACTTGAGACCGTTTCCTCTCGTCCTATCGCTAGTTACCGGGGAGAAGAGACCAACCCCCACCTCACTACAACCTCCTTTCAGGTAGCTGTAGAGGGCGATCAGGTCTCCCCTCAGCCTCCTCTTCTCCAGACTAAACAACCCCAGCTCCCTCAGCCGCTCCTCATAAGGCTTTTTCTCCAAGCCCTTCACCAGCCTTGTTGCCCTTCTCTGGACACGCTCCAGCAGCTCAATGTCCTTCTTGTAGTGAGGGGCCCAAAACTGGACACAGTATTCAAGGTGCGGCCTCACCAGCACAGAGTACAAAGGGATGATCACTTCCCTAGTCCTGCTGGCCACACTGTTTCTGATACAGAAGTTTTGATGTAACTTTGAATTTTTTTCCTTTTTCAAAAAAAAAAGACAAGCACGTGAAAATCAATTATGTATAAATCATGATCATTTTGTGATCAGCAGAGGAGCACCACAAATCTGAGTAAAGCTTAGTTTGATTCGCACAAAGTCTTCCAAACATCTGGTGAGGAGATACTTCATTCTTTGAGCAATACTCTGTTTTTCTAAGCAATGCATAGATGAGCAAGGGATTTGAACAATTCAAACCTGGGATTTAACTATCTTCTATTCCTTATAAATTACATTTTTCTTCAATAAACTTAGCCAGGATCTGAGCTCTTGCTGAGCATCCTGTTTGCAGAAGTCTCCATTACACAGTATGTTTTCTGTCGCTCTGCTTTACAATTCTGTCTCTGGCAATCATTATCATGTAGGTTCCTGCCACAGCCATAGGCCATAAATTTGGCATCTAAACAAATAGTTAACAACAAAAAAATCTTAAAAGAAAAAAAAAACAAGAGAAATTACTCCTTTTTCCCTTACCATGTTAAATACAGCCATAGTTAATATTATAGCAGTGGTTGTCAAAGTAAGAGTGATTCGTGGCCAAGGACGGTTTGCGATGATTCCAGATGATTTCAAGATCCACAACAATGAAGCTGATGCTTTCTTGCTACATTGCTAAGTGCAAAGAGTTTAACAAAGAGAAAACAAAAATAGCTTTAGTATATTTAATTACTATAAACAATGGTAGAATTAAAAAGGCTCAAGATTGCGGGCAGCATTAATTGTGAAACATTGTACAGAAGTATTCAACTATTATAGTCTCATAAGAGTTACAGATCATGATTATACATGAAACTAAATGCAAATTTAGTTAAAATATCTGCCACAATATTAATTCTGTTAAATAATTATAATTTGCAAGTACCTTATTAAACATTCAATATATATTACTAATAATTGCAAATACAGAGTTGACAGCAGTGTCATTATGTCTAACATTGGTAAAAACCAAACTGAGCTCCCCCGCCTCAATTAAAAAAGCAATATTTAGTAGCCTCTGGAAACTTCAAAATGTAAATAATGACTCTGCAAAGTCTTTGACAGAGAGACAGAGGTCTCCTCATGCAGGATAATGATATGGAAATATCCTTGGCAGTATATAAAATAGCAGGGCTTCTGGCTTTTTCTTTCATTTGTTTGGAGACTTGATTAATAATTCCTTTTAAGTGAAAGGTAACTCACTAAAGCAAAACAACCTTCCCTAAGACTATCTAGAAAATAAATAAGCATTTCATACAACAATCGGGATTTACAATTTGATACAAAGAGTATTTAGTGAATAGAAAATTTTTCTTATATAGTGGTAAAAATTAACAGTAAAAAACTCTGACTCATTTAACCTGCTTCCAAGAAGATCTTGCAAAGCCTGCATTCACACATGCATAGCACCTAGAGGCACACGATGCTCACACAGAATAAACAACAATTTGTGGCACATCCAATAAATATTAATTTTCCCCAAACTTTAGCAATGAGGAGTCAAGGTTGCCTAGAAGCATCTTGTGCCCTTTCGAAATGTCAAATTCAGCTACACTGAAACCTCTGTAAAAAAAGCAATGAAAAGTTAAGGAACATGACAGTCCTACAAAAGTATTCGGTTTTTATAAACTAATTTTCTCTATTTACTTAATATTATCAGAGATCACTTTACATATTTTTTCACCCCAGCCACAGCAATCAGCAGAGATACAAGCACAGGAAGTCTCTGAAATGAGAACTCAAGCACTAAAAGTCACCAAATATAGGACTTAATTTACAGCACTTACGTATTAGTTCAGGTTCAATAGCTACGGCACATCACACTAAATTACACTATTACCCAACACATGTGATGTAGTTTGCATGAAGGTCTTTGTCGTACTGCACCTAACTATCTCCCTCTTAACTACACACTATTTGGACAAGTCCACTATATATCTAGAACTTTTTTTACATATCGTTTCCTTTTCTGACAGGGAGTTTTGCATACTGGATTGGACAGATTCTGAGTAAATGAAGTCAGTTTCAGGAAGGTCAAAACAATAATTGGAATCTCAAGGATGGACAAAGAAAAGGGAAAAAACAGGCAGCTTTATATATACATTACTCCTTCCCCATATTAAAAAAAAACCCACAGGACCTCAAAGGATCTGCATTTTTGAGCAAGAAACTCCTGCTCCAATGCCTTTTTGAACTTCCAAACCTTGTTCTCCACCCCTAAGTACATAGCAATTTTTAAGATAATTTGAATCCACATGTAGATTTTAGAAAAGTTTTGTTATCCTTCCCACTTTAATAAAGTAAAAAGCACAAAGCCTAGATTGCTGCTATTGCTACAGAAGGGGAGTATTGAACTGGACACAGAGAATCAATCTGTGTGAAAATGAATCATCCAGTTACCTGTCTAGACTGCCTAAAACCTAATGAATCAGGGAGCATGGATTTATAGCAAATCAAAACAGTAATGAAATCATGTCTTAAGTTACTCTTTGCTTTTGTTATAGCACACCTGGAGCTTTACTACAACTTCACCTACATTGTTCTGTGATTTTCTTTGAAGTTTAGAAGTAGTTGGAATAATTTAAGTTAGATTAGGGACAAAACTAGGCAGGAACACCAAGAAAGTACAAGGAATATAAAGTGGATAAGAAATTATATAGATAAAGCCATACATTGTGTTCTCCTTTCTGAATTATGTTACAGGGAGCTATACTGTTCAAGGGAAGTTGTTAGGTTAAGAAATTCCAAGAAAAGAAGCTAATGATGAAAATAAATTCTCTGGCCTAGACCAGATACATTTTATTATGAATTTTCTTGGTTTTCGGTTATCTGACTAAAGGTTAATCAAATTAAACACAAAGACCTGGTGATGATCAAAAGGACAATGATAGATGGTGGAACTAAAGTAACATAATCAGTGAACAGAAGCCACTGAATCTGCTGCTCCTAAGACCATTGAAGGAGAACGTGTCAGTCATGGTTTCTGATGGAAACCTATCAAGAAGCCTCAATGAAAGAAACTCCTTTTCCAGGATGCCATGAAGACTAAGGGTGATTACTGCCTAAAAAGACTACGCCGGCATGGGGCAGATAATTTTGCAATGGAGCAGAGAGAAACTTGGGATTGTGTAAAACATTATGGCATGTTTTAAGAGCATTGTGGGCATGTGCAAAACTTACAGGATGTTTAGGGGACGGGACACAGAAGAGGAAAGGGAGGGATAAATGTGGATCAGGGAGGAGCAAGCACAGGTAAATGGAGAAGAGAGGGGATGAAAGGAAATGGCTGCATGTGAACACTTGTCTAAATGAGTCTATTGCATATTCTTATTAAATCCTATCTCTAACTATCTTCTGTGTAAGTGCAGTCCTTATTCTGAGCCTGCATGTGTGCAAATACTAGCAAACTTCGTGCTAGACTAGATGGCAAGTAGCACAGGATGGGTGCCAGACACTGGAGAGAGAGAGAGAGAGAGAGACCGCATATCTGAGGCAACCGAGGGGCTGACTGCCAGCAACTGAAGTGTCTCAGACCAGTCCCTGAGAGACCCGTCAGGTGTGGGGGGGAGTGTGTGTGTGTAACCTTTAGGAAACCTCAAGCTAGACTGGCTGTTAAGTAGGAGATCTACATTTGGAGACACTCAAGGTTTGAGCCAGTCACTGTGTAAGGGGGGCAGAGTCTGGGCATGGATATCGTATTGACTTAAAGAGCATACTGCATGACCCGCAGATGCAAATGTGCCTGTGGATGACAGCAGTCAGGGTGTGTGTATACTCCACCAGTAAACTTCAGTCCTGATCAGTTAGAAAGCAGGAACTAGACCATCAGCATTGATCATATTTATGTGAGTGCTGTAAGAGGTGCTCTCTCCATGGATCTGTGTGGTTGGTCCTATGTGTGCAGTATGTGCCTGTGTGCGTATTGGGAACATGGACTCAACCTCACTACTGGTTGTACCTAGGACACAGTACTGACAACCTCCCATTGATGGGAGCGGGACAGGAGGATCCCCTGGGTCTTTAATTCCATCAAAATGGGCTCCAGTGGAACAGAAAGGAGCACTCCCCTGGCTCCTGAACTCCACTGGATCCAACAAGCTCTAGCAACTCTTATTTTCAATTTCAGAACTTTAAAAAACATATCTCAGCAACAGATGCAAACCAACGTCATAAAAAAGATGCTTTCATGTTTTTCTAGTGCTGAGCAATGTAAATTGATCGTTTCCTCTGAAGAACTTGCGTTATGTTAATTCTGAAGATAAAATTAAGTTTCACATGGAAAATCTCTGCTAAATCCCAATATCTAAATACATGAATGTTGGCATCAAATGAAGACTTCTCAGACTTTTCTACTTTAATAACAATGCTTCCAATTGTTAAATTTGAACTTTCTTCATTTTTTTTAAAGTAAACATTGAAAAAATTACAGTACAGAATTGCTGAGATTACTTGGCAATGTCCATGCTGAGAAATGCATTTATTGCTGAGGATTGCTTTATTGCTTTCCAAGTACCTGTACACTTTTTAACAGACTTATGAAACTTCTGTACTAAAATTCCTTGCAATAATTCTAAATTTCCTTTGTTTACAAGATTTTTGATCAATATCACCTGACCTTGCTAATGTCTTTTAGCAAGGAGGAACTAATTGGAGTGATTTTCTACAGTTCTCTAAAAAGCTGTTTTTCTGCTTAGATTTAAAAAAAAAAAAAAATGTTCTCTGGGAAACTTTATCGTTAAGGAAAGTTCTGAAAAATAAAATAAATTTCAAGAAACAATATCTCATTCAGCCAGTGTGATTAATCAATAAAGAGATTCCATTCTTCCAGATGCTATTGCTAAATTTACAGATATTGCTGGCTCTGACCTGAAGAAAAATGTGAGTGTTGTTAGACTGCAACTGCAAAAATGAAGTTGTAGATAGTTATTCCCACTTGTTAAAACAGAAGCACATGGGAACTCAGTGATGCATTTCTTCCCAGGCTGTTTAATGCACAGCTCTGAGTTCTGGAGGGGAAGGACCACTGCTTATTTGGTACATCTGTCATGCCCACCTGGTTTGTTAAACAGGTGACAGGTCTCTCTAACAGCAAAGAGAGCAGCATACATAGGTTAAGCTGATGAGACTCCTGAAGGGAAAATTTGTGACAAAAACCTGATTCACACTAAAAATCTTTAAACCATTGGGTAGAAATTCCTTGGAAAACATGAAAGAATACACTGTTGATCAGTAATTCTCTATGTGAATTAAGAGATTTGCTGAACTTTATTTCACTTTTGAGCAGTCTAAATCCAGTCCATATATAGTACAATTGCAGCAGTTCAGTACTGCTGAAAATTTAGGGAACTCCTGGAAGCAGAACCGGAGTGGTCGAGTGATCATTAAATTCAGATTCTTAATAGCATTGGCAGAAGCATGCAGGTTTATTTTGCTAATTTATTAGCTTACATCAAACTTTTTTTCTTGTTAATGTTATGTCTCACTTGCAATTTTCTTAAGAAAATGGAGAATGAGATGAAAGGAAGAAAGTAATCATTTCTAGAAAACATGCAAGAATGGTAAGACATTTGATCTCAGTAGCATTAGGTTCTCTGTTTATTCTAAATGGAGCTGGCAGAATATGTTTCAGTGTTTAT